TCCTTAGAATTTCCCCAGGAATCCAATGGCGATGTCTGTTTTTTCAGAAAGTCCCTGTATCACTGAGAACGAAACTCGTCTGAAGCTTTGCCCTAACAATGGAAAAACTCCATCCTCACATCAAACCTCGCATATAAGGTGCTAAACAATCATAAGCATTATTATGAACACGTATATGTATACATAATCGATTACACTGTATAAATAAAGAGTTTAGGTTCCACGAAAATTTACCAAACGGTGCACTTGGAAGCACAAATTCTGGGCACATACTAGTTCAAGGGATGCTTGAAGATGAACCCTGGGAGTCTCTGGATGATGATAGGGAACTGGGTTTGGTCTGCAAAAGCCCGGAAACATGGATGCGAATTTGACAGCTTTTGATAAAAAAATTAGAATTTTGGAGAGCTCTTTCTAGACTGTATATTCGTCCTTAGCTTGTAGAAGTGTTGTGTATTTATAGGAGATGGAGAGAGGGTCATAGCATGGAAAGAAATCAAACTTTAATTCCATGATGAAAGCAAAATAATTCCATCTGAAAACTTGCCAAATTTGAGAGATTTCATGCCATTTTCAAAACACAATGCACCTAGACATGTTATGGTTTTGGTGTCTTGCTCAAATTTTGGGCCTCAAGCTAACCAGTACAAACCCAACAAATTTCATCCCATTAGGCCTTTTCGATTTGCTTAATTCTTTCGACATGCTCCCCATCTTTGCTTTGTTAGATAGCTCAGAGCTCTAATTCGAATGGCTTCTTTGAATCCCATCCAAACAGCCTAATCAAACTAAGTGCATGTTCCTTTAGATGGCCTTTCCTTCAATTCGAATGGCTCTCTTCGACTTCCTTCAGTTTGCACCAATCGAAGTGATTTTGGGGCTGGTCGAAGCTTCACTCTTCCTTCTTCGATTTCCCTCAATTTGGACGAATCGAAGTGTTACCTTATGGGCTGGTCGAAGCTTCATTCTTATTTCTTCGATTTCCCTCAATTTGGACCAATCGAAGTGTTATCTTATGGGTTGATCGAAGATTCATTCTTCTTTCTTCGATTTCCCTCAATTTGGACCAATCGAAGTATTATCTTATGGGTTGATCGAAGCTTCATTCTTCTTTCTTCGATTTCCCTCAATTTGGACCAATTGAAGACTTTGAAACAAAAGCTCGCTCGATGGGTTTTAGATGCCCAATCGAAACACCTTATTCAGACGCCCATCGAAAGACCTTTGTCAAGATGCCAGTCGAAAGACCTTGTTCAGATGCCCATCAAAAAACTTTTTATTTTCTTTAAGCAAGTGTTTGTAACCACCCATGTAAGAGAAGATTTTGGAAAATATGAGAGGGCAAATTTTAGGGTACAACAAAGGTGTGTGAGGGTGATAAGAAGAGTAAAACTGACTAGAACCGGCAGAATTTATGGCTAGACCTTGCCTATTACCTATGTAGATTTGTTCATGACCCACAAATGGTGTGATTTGCTGAAGATTGTTAGCCTCATTTATAACATGAAATGAAGCACCTGAGTCTGGATACCAGGAAGCAGCTGAGGTTAAAGGCCCAGTGTTGCCAATGAAGGTGCTGGGAGGAGCAAAAGGAACTACAAGCCTGACTTGGGGAGCAGCTGGTCTTGTCCACTTATTGACTGGAAATTGACCATAAGATGCTTGAGAACCAGACCAAGGATCTGCAGAATAAGGATTGCCATTGTAAGAGTGAGACTGAAATTGCTAATTAAACATATGACATTAGTTGAGTGTCGAGTGACCAGCTTTAGAGCACACTTGGCATTGGATATTAGAGTTCCTGCCACCTCTGCCTATACCTTCACGCCCCCCTCTATGTGTTCTTCCATCTCTGAAACTGGAGTAATCAGGTTCAGTGGGATTTGTGGGAGTGGAATCAGTACTTCCAGATTGAGAAATCTCAAGTGCGGGAGATTGAGGGGAAACATGTGTGAGATTGAGAGAAACAAGGCCTGGTACATGCTTCTTCTTGAACTTATTTAAACGGAATTCATGTGCAATTAGGAGAATCTTAACATCATCTAGCCCCATTTCCCCAAACTTACTTTCAACATCTGAGACCATAGGAGCATATTCAGCAGAGAAACCTTCAAGAATCACATCAATGTGATGAGTGTTAGGTACAAGATCTCCAATTGAGGCTAATGAATCCACAATCGTATTAATTTTCAGCAGATAATCAGAAAAAGAGTTTGCGTCAAGAGTTAGGGCACGTAATTCAACACGAAGTTCACGAGCACGAGCGCGTGTTTGCTTCTGAAAATAACTGAACAAACGATCTCATAGTTGATGCGAGTGAGAGCAACCAAGAACTCGCGACAGAATTTTGCTCGAGAGCGTAGATTGAAGCCACGACAGAAGAAGCTGATCTTTCTGAAGCCAAACAGAGTATGCAGGATTGATCGTACCTTTACGATGATCTTTATCGCTCAGAAATTGCGTAGGGATTCGCGGACAGGCAACAAGATCTATGAGATTGTACGCGTTGATGTAGGGTTCCACTTGCTGACACCAGAGGTGAAAATTCTTCTCATCAAGCTTGTGCGCGATCTTGAGAGAGAAGTGAAGGTGGCACGATTCATCATTCGCAACCACGACCGGCGTCACTGGAGAAGATACAGAAACAAAAGGCATTACCGGTGGAGAAGGCATGGATCGAACTTAACAAACTGATACCATGATAGAAACCAATAACATAACTTTCATTTTCAATTATAACTGAATTTGAATTTATGAAAAGTTAGTTATAAAGAGAGATCACAATTTGCTTATATAGGTGCAAACTGTATGCCTTGTAATAACAGGTCTACATTAGGTAAGCTGACAGCTGTCAGTTATAACAAAGACTTACAAAGAGAATTATTCTACACAATGAGTGTTACTCTAATAAGTACGAAGAAAAACAAAAGGTTGACGAAAATTTTGAATCATCAAGCAAGAATGGGCGAGGGTTTGTTAAGAACCAAAACAAGAGAAAAAACTTTGATAAAAGAAAGGTGTATTGTCACAATTGTCAGAAGTTGGGACATATGCATATGAATGTTGGCTAGGCAAAGGTAAAAAGTTCAAGAATGGTGAAGAAGAAGCCAAGATAGCTCAATAAGACTCTAACTCAGACTCGCAACGAGTTATGGTTATGGATGCAATGCAACTGATGTTAAGGTCTCAAATTCTCAATTTTGGTATCTTGTTACTGATTGAAGTAACCTATCAAGAACGGACTCTGACACATACATCGTGACACTAAACAAACTCAAACACTCTGACACTCATAGTGTAGAAAATGTAGAACATCGACACCGCTACATATATGATATTATTTGAGTTTCATTTATCTATCTATTATTAAAAGACTTATAAATATTTTAATCAAAATTGTCGTTTAAAATTTTTTATTGATAACATTGATTCAATACATTTAACCCCTTTAGATGTTTGTGAGATTTGTCCAAGAAATATGTAAGGTGTGTTGAATCAAAGAAAATAACTTTTTTTTTTAAACACTTGTCTAAATTAGTTTGACCAATCTTTTACAAAGTAGAGCCATCAGGCATAAGGTATTTGAGAAAATGTTATGGCAAAGACATGGCTCAACATGAAACAAATATTTGGAATTGACTTGGAGACAGTACAAAAATGGAAGTCGGCTTTATTAGAAGCTTTATTTGAAGTGTCTAATTTATCTAGAAAGACTTATAAAACCGGGTATGCAGTATACTTTCAAATGCTTAAATTTGCATTATTTCATAATAATCAAAATTATATGCATAACTAAATTGAAACTTCTTATACATCCCTTTGCAGATACGAATATGAATTTATCCAAAAGATCGTGGAAGATGTCAATCATATTAATAGTCGTTTGAAAATAAGAAGCATATAAAAATGGGCTAGATAGAAGATGCCAATCATATTAAATCGCAAGCTTGTCTTTATTATGAGTATGTATCTTATAGAAAGTATGTCAAAGATTTAGTAGTGGCCCCTATTTTATTAAGCAAAACCACCAAACTAGATAGCATTCAATAATAATCTACAGAAGGGCCTCTGATACACTTCACAAAAACATTTTTTATAGCATGTAACAGACAAGTCTTGATCTCAAAAAGTAAAATATTTGACTATGAACCTCAAAAGGTTTAATCATGACTCAATGATATCTTAATATCATATTAATGATGACTTAATGACTTGTTTTCATATGCAAAGCTAAAAATATTTGAACCCTTACCTCTGACGATGAGACCTTTCTGCTGATCTGAACTGATCAGAGTCTTGAACATAAGGTTGGTTGATAAGTGAGGAGATTCTCTGCATTCTATCCCTTTCCAATTTGGAGACCTTGGATGACAATATGTGTGGAGGATGTCAATCAAATTTGACAGTGATACAAGTGAGATTCTTCTTAAAGCAAAGAGGTTGATGTTGGCCATAGCCTCATTTCCACTATTCTTGTAATCATTGTGTGAACCAAACACCTAATTTAAAAGACCAGTATTGTTTGGATAGAACTGTATAACCGAAATTGATTCTTAAGCATTAAGTGAAAGGCCTATTCTGATTTGAGTACAATCAACAAATGAAACCATGTGTTGAGAATTCAATTACATTTATGGTATCATAACAATTTTATAGAGATGTGAAGAAAACCAAGTTCTATTACAGAAATTTGTGTCTTGCAAACTCCAGCTTCTAAATTCTCTTCTCTTCCTCTTCTTTTCAAGATTTTGTTTCTACATGTTAACAACGAACTTTTTTTACATCATCATTTTGTCATCATGTGGTCGGATTGCTCCAATACTATCTCTCTCTGCCCAGGTTTCTGAAATCTTCAAAGTTCCCGCTTGATGCTTCCGATGTCTACTCTCTTGGTTGGCTGTCGGTAATAATCAAATGCATCGCAAATTGTTTGTATTAGAATTTCAGCAACTTCTTAAAAAATGTTCAACTTCAATCAAAAGAAGAAATCAAAGGCCTCCTCAACTAGGGAGGAGTTTGCTCAGTCTCTCATCTTTACACCGCCTTTGATCTCCAACCATGGACTCAAACGTATCCAAGAGATTATCCAAACCCCTGTGATCCTCCCCAATTGCCTTTAAAGCAAACACAATGCTCTCAATGGTGGACAAATAACCAGCTTTAGGCTGACTCCTCACATCACCGTATAAGCTCATTTCATTCACTTCCAACTTCAAATGCGGCAAAATGTTGAGCCAAGGATTTTCACTATAAATCCTTTTAGCCTTAGCCCACGTTCCATCAAGAACAATCAAGTTTTTCACCTCAAAACCAACGGCATCTAAGTCAGTAACACTAACAGCATTATCAGAAGGAAAAAGTAGTACCGATCCAGGACAAACCTCAATGTCAAATTCCTCATATTCTTCCACACTTTCTTCCCTATTGAGTTGCTTCTTTTGCAACTTCTTCACCAAAAACCCTTTTGAGAGTGCTTCACATGCTTCAGGACAAGACAAAATGTTGTCAAAGCTTAACTCATTAGATATAGATTGTTGCATCCAAATATGTGACAGAGATGTAATCGCACCATATTTGGCAATGGTAACAGTAATTGCAGGCTCTATATCATCACAATTTGGATGAATTGGGATTTTGTTAACATCATCACTCACATGATTGACAGTGTCAACAAGAGAGTTAGCAAGAACATGTTGAGCGTAATTTTGAGCAAACAAACCGTTAGACACATTATCAAGAGAATTAGAAATGGAATGTAAAAGTCGAATAAGGAAGCGAGATTGAAAATTAACATCAGAAACAGTTGCAATCGTGAGATTGTTGAGTCCCAGTTTAGCGATTCTAGTAGAATTGAGTGGGTGGTTGCATTCAAGAGCGTGCTGGAGGATGGTTACATGGACGGAATTAGGGATGGGAGGAGTGAGGATTCGAGAGCAGAGACAGGTTCGTGTGGGTTTGGAACATGAAGGGCAAATGGGTCTTTTGGATTTAGCCTGCGACATTGATGATAAAGTTTTGAGGGATTTTCGTAGAAGAAGGTTGTGTGTGTGAAAAAGGTTCAAGTTGAATTGGGTGTGAGTCAGACAAAAACCCATTCTTACTTTCGGAGGGAACTCAAAACCCTAACATCGTAAGGAAGATGTCGTTTAACTGAAGTGGATTTTCTTTTTCTATTTTGATTTGTAAGTTACTTTTTTTTTTTTTAGGGGAGGAGATTCTCTCCCGTATTTTATCAATTTTTTTCTCCCACGGAATCTGAACCACATATTGAAGGTTACGGCTAGGGTGAGGGTTCTTACGAATGTCTCATCCACGGGCCATCATGAAAAACAACTCCGTTAGATTAAATATATTCATATGATTTTACGTGAAATTGTCACATTAAATCTCACTTTCACCCATTCTCTCTTGCTGAATGTTTGTTTTTCTCTATTTTTTATCAATTTTTTTCTTCTCACAACACAGTCATGGAAACCATTTCTTTTTTGAAAATTTTGAACCTCTTACAAGAAATTTAAATTTGGACTAATAATTCCTCTCATTTACTACTATCATAAGTCTAAGAAAATTTTAAGATAAGAAAAACAATACTCTTAAGTGGAAGTTTGTAGTTTCAAGTGACACATAATCAAATGTTGAAGCAGATGTCATTGACATTGTTCCCTCTTCCAAAAATAAGATTGGAGGAAAATGGGTGCTTATGAATACTCTTGATGCTCCTTTAGATAATGTGTATTTTCACTTTGAAGGAAAGTGTTAAGAAGTGGAGGTTTGTGTGCCAAATAAGAGTTTCTTTAGAAATGAGATAAGTGAAAAAAACTCTAGGTTGTTCAGAAATATGGAATTTTCTAAAGGAAGCTGAGTTGTTAAAAATAAGTGACAAACTTTGGTCCTTGCTATGAGAAGTTTGTCAAGGAATTTATTGTTAATTTGTCACATGACTGCATTAAGTAAGGGAGCAAAAAATTATGAAAACTTTGTGTTAGAAGATATTGTGTGAAGTTATCACCTGAAGTCATCAATGCTTATCTAGCTAGAGGCAAGAATGCTAAAAATTATATTGTCCCCTCTCTAGACAAGATTACTAAAGAAATCACAACTAATCAAGTCTAGTAATGGTCAAATAATAGCTTACTTTCCACTAAAAGTCTTAGTATGAAATATGTTGTGTTGAATAGAATTGGAGCAATAAATTGGGCACCCATCAACCATAGCTCAAGCATCACATGTGTCAGGGCCAAGCTTATTTTTCAAATTAGGACAAAGTCCAAATTGAATTTGGGTGAACATGTTTTTGATCAAATAATGAAACATGCTTACTTATATGCTATAAAACTTCCCATTTTCTTTCCCCATTTAATCAATGGAATGATATTAAAGAAACACCCCAACATAGTTCATATTGATGAAATCAAGAGAAAAAAGCTAGATCCACTGATTTTGGAATACATGTTCTTTGTTGGATCACATGTCCTAGACATTGTGGTGCCAATAAACAAAAGGCATGCATCTAGTGGGAGTTTCTCTTCTACATCCAATGACACCAAAGAGAATGTTCTTGATGAAAAAATGGAAGTGTCCAAGACTTTACAAGCAACAATCACTTCAAGCACCATCGAAAAAAAAGAAAGTGGATGATTTGATCATGCTCTTGACCAGTGAAGAGGATAATGAAAAAGAGGACTCTAGGAGATATTATGGAAGTCATGAAGATGAGGACAACTATAAAGAGTAAATTGTCGGATGTTGTCAACCACTATGTGTTAGACATCTGGTGTGACATGTGGTGCTTGTTGTAGTTGGTTGCTGATTAATCTACATCATTTTGATTTATGTTCATTTGTATTTTTGGCCCTTACATGGGTATTTTTTGTTGTAATGGTGATGTAACCTTAAATTTGATATGCACTTCTGAACCAAGTATCACCAAGGGTTGAATTTAAAAGCATCATGTTCAACATCATGGTTGTTTACTCTCGGTGTGTGTATGTGTTAACATACTAATCTATATGATAACTGACCAGTACTATCGAGGAATACCTTTTCCAAATTATGGAAAATGGGGGAGTAATGGTGTGTAAGTGGTAGTTTTTTTTACTACCAACTACTAATCATGAGGAGTTGGTATCAACTGATCTCTGATGTGTTTGCTACTAACCGATGCAATTGGTACTAACTGTTCTAGTTTTCTATGGAAAACTCACATGCTGAAGCATCTGGCCCAGATATGTGTCTGCTTGTCTGATTGTGTATTAGTAGTAGTTTTTGACCTTTGACTATTAACTACTAACTGTGTGTGTATGCATGACTAACCTATCATGAATGATTGTATTTTAACTATTTATAGGAGCATTGTGTGTCAACTGACTGAAGTTTAGCAACTACCATGGTACTGATTTGTGTTGCTTTTGTTGTTTATGAATGCTCTGACAATTGTTCTTCTGTTGCTACTGATGTTTGTTATGAGTAAGGGAATTCTTGGTACTCAGTTGTTTTTTGCTTGAATAGTTGTTTTTCCAAAAAAATCCAAAAAAGGAAATTGTTGGTCCTTTTGGATTGACCATATTATGCAAAACAACATGGAGTTTGTTCAAGCTGTTTCTGGTGTAGAAAGGACACATGTGGAACACGATTTCTAACATGTGTGCTACAACATCTGGTATCTGACAACAGAAAGATGGTATTGCATTATTGGTTTTTATTTATTCTATTCAAGATTCACTCTACAAAAAGATCTACATTTCATGGAGAAAAATTAATTTGGATGTACTGGTACAACATGTGGAACACGATGTTCTAACAACTGGCCAGTGCAACATATGGCCCTGGTGTAATACGGTGGGAGAACTGACTTGGTTTTGCATTTTATCATAAATATTATGGATAGCAAGAGTCCCCACTGACTTTTCTTTTATCCAATAAGGAACTGGTGAAAAGAACAGGAACAGTTCACAACATAGATTTATTCTGACACTCCATCACACAACTGCTAGATACATTCAGACACGAGTTCATTCTAGTATACTTCTCATTCCATGAGGTACAGAAACAGAGGCATCTTCCTGTCACATCCTCAAGTAGAAGTTGAAGATCCCCAACATAGTTTTTAAAAATCTCAAGCAGATTATAAAGCCTCATCCCCGGCAGAGAAAAAATCTCCAATTGCTGCTCCGAAATTCCCCAGTGAAGTCGCCAAGCTTCTCAAGATTCCCCAACAGGATTTCAACAAAATCTCCAAACAGTTCACGAAGTTTACCTTCCCCGGCAAAGTTTATTCCTCTAACAATGGAAGTTTATCTCCCAACATTTCAACTTCAACAAATCTGAAGACCTACATTCTTCACCACCAGCAACCGGGATTTATTTTCCCTAATTCAACAACATAGAAATGGAACAACTGACACGTTCATACATTGCATTCATACATCATTTCTACAAACAACATAGCATATGCAACACAAATGCATATATCACAATCTCATTTATTTAGATAGCTTCATGTAATTCATACATCATGACATCGCATGAAACTAACTTTACCTTTCCAGGTTGAGTTTGCAGAAAGACAAACACTATCAACTTATACAACAGGTCAACGTTTAATGCCCGAAACCAGACGGGAAAACCATCTACACAACCAAATGGAATGAGCTCCCGAAGCAAGACGGGTTTACCAACAAATACAACAAGCCATAAGTTAATGCCCGAAACCGGACCGGGAAACTATCTATGCGACCAACAAAACAAGTCTCAGGTTAATACCTATAACCATCCAGGAGAACTATCTGCGGACGACCAACTGTGGATTAACACCCGTAACCGGCCAGGAAAACTATCTACATAAAGATATTAAAGATTAATACCTGTAACAAGCCAGGAAACTGTCTTTCTTTCTTAGGTCAGAGATTAATACCTCTAACAAGCCAGGATAACTATCTCAATGACCGACAAATTCCAAATTCTATATTAATACCTGAAACCAGATAGGACAACTATCTGTGAACAACTGATGGTAGATTAACACCTGAAAACAGACAGGAAAGCTATCTACATGACCAGACGAAGCAATCTTACACGGGTTTCTTCTCATATATCTCCGGGTGTAGACTAACACGGACTCAACCTGGAACAGCCATACGCAGGCTCTTTATAAGGCATCTTCAGGTAACGGTTAATTCCATTATCCCCAGCAAGCTATTGTGAAGCCTGGATTTCGACCAGATAACATTTTAAGTTGTTACGAAGCCTGGAATCCGACCAGATAGTATTTTACTTCTTCAATTACTGTGAAGTCTTAAGTATGACCAAATAACAATTCAATTTCATTTTACTGCGAAGCCTGGAATCCGACCAGTTAGTAGTTTACTCTGTCAATTTATTGTGAAGCCTAGAGTCCGACCAAATAGCAATTTTCTCTGTCAATTACTATGAAGCCTAGACTCGACCAGATGATAATGTACCTCAAATTCAAGTTAAATCCTGGATCCGACTAGATAACATCTTGATCTCTTCAAATAACCGAAGCCTGGACACGACCAAATAACAGTTCGAGTCACTAAAGCCAGGATTCCGACCAGATAACAATTTGAGTTACTGTGAAGCCTGGGTGTGATACGGTGGGAGAACTGACTTGAGGTTTTGCGTTTCGTCGCAAATGTCGTGGTTTAGCAAGAGTCGCCACCGACTTTTATTTTATCCAAAAGGAAAGGTAAAAAAGTACAGGAAAGACCTTTGAGATGTTTTCTTGAGATCGGGGGGTAGATTATGAAAAGGGAAGGTGCTAGCACCCTTTTCATCAATGGTTTTCCATGGGCTCTTAGTTACTTACTTAGATCACTTGCTTTGCTTTGAAATTGTTTGAAATGGTGCTTTGTGTTTGGTGTGATTTTGAAAGTATTTTGAAAAGAGGCCATTCGTTTAGGCAATATTTGTAATGATTCTCGTTCGTGAGAATGTATACAAAGATGTTTGTCTTTTGAAAAAATATTTCAATGTTTTGTAAGATGTTTTGAAATGTGTGTGTGTTTGTTTTTGAAAATAGAAAGGATTGTTTTGAAATGGAGCAAGTAACTTAGAAGCTATCTACCTACTCAAATGTCTTTCTTATGCATTTTTATTCCTTTGACATTGTTGACTTACCGTTGTTTTAGTAAGCAACCCTGTCTTTGGATGTAAACGGGACGGGCGTGGGTCATCGTATGACTATGATAGCAATGTTGCCAAGTATCTTAGCATTTTTGAGGGACCAAGATCATTTTGTTTTAGGCAACCTTTGTATAGCGTCATCAAGGGACTATGATCTTTTTATTTTGTTTTGTTTTGCCAAGATACTTCACATGCGTAACATGGTCATTTTTGTGTGCAGGTATAAGGATCCACCATTGTTAGGGTTCCGAGCTCCCAATTTGGGGAACCCGATTTAATGGCCAAATTGGATGAAATTGATGGTGCCAATGAATTCAGGAGGAAGATTGCAAGCAATCCATGGCTTTGGTTGATATTTTTTGCGCGTGTATAACGAATTTGAATTGTGCAGGGCTATAGCTACAAACGTAAACTGTCACTATAGGCTTTAGCCACAGAAGTGTCCATCACTAAAGGCCTGGTTCAATTTGAATGAGGAAGACTACGGTAACCCACACATTGCTGTCCTATTGGCCTATTTGAATCTCAGCGCGCACGCTTTGAAATTTGGGGATAATACTGTTTTCGCTTTATATTATTATTGTGTCATTATAATAATGAATGGATGGGTAGCTCAGATGGCAAGGCAGCGTGTGTAAAGGGGTGAGGGCCTAGGTTCGAATCTCGGGTCCAACATTTTCATCTTTTCGAACATATTATATGTAGATTCCATGTGTTGCATAGCCAGGAGCACACCATGCGCCCTCAAGGCCTCATCTCATCAGATCCAAAAGCAAGTCTGGGCTTCAACTCTGCACCAAACTTTTTTTTCAAACAACACCCCCAATTACTATTATCTTGGCCCATTTGCATTTTTTTGTCTATTTTTTTTGCTTTATTTATTTTTTTCTAATTTATTTTCTTCATTTATTTAATTGATCAAATTTAATAATAAAATCACAAAAATAATAGTTTAGTTTTTTTTAATTAAACTAATTTTCGAAATTAATTATTAATTCAACTTTAATTTTTTTATTTATAAATTTAAAATAATTTAGAACTTAGGTTTTAATTTATATTCAATTTAATTTCTTTTCATAATAAAAACAATAAATAAGTTCTTAATTAATTTCATCTTCTAATTAGACTTTAGGATAATTAACTTAATTATTTTCTTAGATAAAAACAAACAAACAAATAACCAAACAGATTTTTTTACCTTAGGATTTTCAGACGTCTTTTCTACTTCACGCACATTTATTTATTTTTGTATTTTTTCATATTATTGTATCTAGCTACTGGATGTAATAGATTAAAACTAGGATATTTACGGCTTTATCCCCCTCATTCTTGGACATGTAATTAATCCTCAAAGCCATGTAATAGTGTAGGATTTACATTCCCGCACTTTACATTTCTGCACTTTAAATTCCTGTATATATATTAACTGTTAGTAAGTAGGCTTGTATGGAAAAACTAATAATCAAACGCTAGAAAATTTAACAAAATTTAACAAAAAGACAAGAATAACTGAAACATAATACACTTGCACATATACACCTCTAGGGTACCCCACTTTGGTTGCCTTCGGAAATAAAACAGTCATGTCCCTCGAGATAGAGACACTTTAGCAAAGACCCATAAATCAAAAGATCATAGTCTCTCGATGACCCTACAGTTGCCTTTCGGTAAATGATCTAGTCCCTAAACAGAAATTGCTAAAGCGTCTCCACATGTTGTCTTTATGACTGTACGTCCCTTAGAATGTCCCTCATACATCCAACAATGGGGCTTCTTACCAAATCAATGGTAAGATAGTAACATCTAAAGGAGGAGGAAAAGAAAGTTAGACCTTTTGAATAGGTAGGACGCTCGTAGTTGCTTGCTTGCTCACAACAAAAAACTCATTTTCATCCATACACTTTCAATTGAAACATTTTCAAAAGTCAAAGTCCTTTGTACGCATTCTTATAGAGACGAGAATCATTACAAAGGCACTTTTCAAAATCACTTTCAAAAAACATATTCCACAAACACTTCTTTGAACTATTTTCAAAAACTAACACTTTGTACGCGTTCTTATAGAGACGAGAATCATTACAAAGACGTTTTCAAAATATTTTCAAACTCACACCACAAAGCACATTTTCAAACAAAAGAAAAGTGAACTAGCAAGTAACTAAGAGCTCGTAGATAGCTACAGATGGAAAGGGTGCTAGCACCTTCCCTTTCCATAATATATCCCCCTTACTCAGAAATAATCTCGAAATGTATTTTTCTGTTCTTTTCACCCTTTCCTTTGTTGGATAAAAGAAAAGTCGGTGGCGACTCTTGCTTACCGCAACATTTGGGAACACAAAACGCAAAACCAGTATTAACAGTCGGTTCTGCCACCGTATCACACTCGTCCTTTGCTTGGATGATCGCCTCCAAAGATGCTTCCGACTTGGGATGTCAACGAGATGCCGTGAAGTGTCTTAAGATTAACTTTCCCAACTGCCTCCAAGAAGTGATGGATTAAGACTTCTGTACCACATCATGACACCTTTCCTCAGGGTAGTTGGGAATAACTTGCATTTGATGGCGCCCCTAACGCCTTGATAATCGAGCAGGGCATCAATATTTTCTATGTGCTCGCAATGATCAGTTGTACCGTCGTATGTTCCCAACGGGGGAGGTTTCTCCAAGCCAACTGGGAGCGTGACTTTTGTGATCTCTCTTAATAGAGGGCCTCATGGCTCGTCATTGTCGCTTCCCTCGGGAGATGGCGGAAGGGAATAATGGTCCCTTCCTCGTCGGGGGTTGTTGTCCCGACGAGGAGATATACCTCTTCGTTGTGTCTTGGATTGGGCGACGGTGATCATTCGCGGTCAAGTCGGCGGTCATTCTTTTTCTTCTTGGAAGATGGAGAGCCTTGATCACTTCAGGGAGGTATGCGATCACGTTTCTTGAGGAAGGAAACGTCTTGTCGCTCCCTTCGGCTTGGACGACCATGCCTTGGTGGAGAAAGGCTTGGAGAGTTGCATCGTCGATGTCTTCGAGGAGGACACTTCGATCGCTTCTTCTCTCAGGCCCCAATCCTCTTGTTGTGCTAAAGGATTAGGATGTTGGTTTGGTTAAGGGCAGCGAACAATGCTGTCATGACCGGATCAACATTCTAAGGAATAAGAACTGTTTACAGGATCTCTGGCAGCTCCTCGGACAAGTTCTTGGGCCTCTGCTCGTCCAAGAACTGGAGATTATCGCGCTCGACATCGACTAAACCTGGGGACATAGTCTGTCCATCTCTGACGTCGATGTCATCCTCGAGGTGAGGATGCTCATGGCTTCCATCAATTTTGTGGATAGGAGATAGTACAGTCTTTCCAGAGAGGTGATGGTCATCGTGGTTGGCGATGATTGAAGTGGTGAATGTATCTTTGGTCTCTAGTTTTGAGGGAAAAAGGAAGACGGGGAAGATAGATTCCCATAGATGGCACCACTGATCGTACCTATGATAAGAACTTGAAAGTGGGGCGAAAGATGACGCCTGGTTTGCTGGAAAGTTGAGGAGAAATGGGGGTTGTACTTGCAAGACACTCTGACGATCAAGTAAGAATGAATGCAGAGAGATACATGCAAGATGTTAGAATTTAAGGTTTGAATATTGGATACTTATCCCTCACAAGTGTGAGGATTTATATAATGTCCACAACGCGTAGCCATTTATTCCTATTTTTGAGCCTAGATATTCGGGTCCGCAAAAATAGATAACTGACAGGACTTGGTCAAAACGGGGAGTCGTGCCCGTAACTAGTCGTTGCGTCGAGCAAGAGTGAGATGACGGGCATACACGTTGTGAGCGCGAGTCTGGTTGTATGCTCGACGTGTAGCGAGCAGATTGGGGAGGAGGTTGTTGTTATGGGCAAAAGCATGATTTCGGCGTTATTGGTCTTGCAATTCCACGGGACAGTCGACCAGACTTGCCCAACCCACGACCTTAGTTATTGAACCAACGCTTATTGGGCCATACTGAAAGTAGGAGCAGATTGAATCAATTATAGTCATTGAACCGGTCCAAATCAGATAACATGAATTTATCACCTCAAACTTATTTCCTACCCAAACTAATACAACAAATTAGATATGTGTAGTTATTGTTGTTATCATACACATACAAAGAATTTTTCCAGTACTACTACTGTTAGTATATTTCTACAACTTTTAGTGTAGAAAAGATACGGAAATTCTATATGATACACTCTCCACTCATAATAGAGAAATACTGACAATTTAGATCGTTCTAAAATCCCTTGCCCGTGCAAAACGACTTGCAATATATTCACATCTTCTTTCTTGTTCATGTCTATATTGTTTGTATTTGTAAACGACTTTTAATTTGATTGGCATCTTCAACGATCTTTTGAATAAATTCATATTCATACCTGCAAAAGTATGTACAAGATATTTCATTTTTAGCTTTGCATAAAAGTTCAATTTGGCTATCAAACTTTTTAGAAGAATAAGTTATCACATAAGACACAAATTGTAACGAAATTAAAGAAGTGCAATTTTTTTTTAACAAATCACATACCTTAAAATCTATGACTAATATAGTAGATATTGGTTAGTAAGGAATAACGGAAATAGAAGTATATATAAGTATATTACGTACCCGGTTGTATACGTCTTTCCAGATAAGTTAGACACTTCAAACAAAGCTGACTTCCATTTTTTTACTCTTTCAGAATTAATTCCCAATACATTTTCATGTTGAGCCATGTCTCTGCCATAACATTTTCTCATATACCTTATATCGGATGGTTCCACTTTGTAAAAGATAGGCCAAACCATTTGATTCTTGAATTTCATACACTCTAGAATCTTGACAAGTTCATCAAGACACCATGTGGAACTTGCATAGTTTTCGGATAAAACAATAATAGAAAGTCTAGATGCTTCAATGGCATTTAGAAGAGAGGGTGAAATTTGATCTCCCGTGTTAAGCCCTCCATCGTCCATGAAGGTCTTGAATCCTTCTTGACATAAAGTATGATAAAGAGAGCCTGTAAAAGAGTACCGCGTATCTCCCCCTCTAAAACTAAGGAAAATTTGCCATTTGGCCATTGAATGTTTGAGACTATCTAACGTCTCTTTCCATTCTTTAATCGGTTTATTTCGTAGGGAAGATCCCGTATCTTTAACTAATTTAGGCACCCCTTCACACTCAAAAGCAACTTCACGTGCAATATTCAATATGTCGAATGAGGATGAGGATGAACACTCCTCATCGTGAATGCCTGAGTGTTTTTCGAACAAAGTCCAAGCTTCCTCTTTAGACAAGGGACCAAGTTGAATATTCTTTTGGCATTGCATCAAGTCACAATCTTCTTGACAACGTGCGGTGAGAAGGACCTTGCATCGATTACTCTTACAAGGAATGCCTACATCTTCTGGATCAAATTTCACCTGAACATCATCGAAAATCACTAGAATTGGACGATACATACTTTCTATTGCGGAGAATATTCTTCTTGCTCTTCCGACTTCACTATTTTTATCAAACTTCATATCCAACGAATCAGCGATTTCTTTTTGCATTGTTCTGATATTTGGATTTTGGGATACAGTGGCAAATAAAACTTTGTGAAAAATCTTTAAATACTTAACTTTCTCACCCATTGCTTTCACTAATGTTGTTTTACCATAGCCCTGCCTACCATATAATCCAATTATAGAACAATTCTCATCTTGTAGTGCCTCAAAAAGTTGATCTGATGTCTTCTCTCTAGACTCAAAACACATAATATTTCCCGAAGAAAAGTGCTCTAAACTTGGAATCGGAGTTGAAAATGGATCAAACTCGCATTTCGCATTGAGTGTGGTTAGTTTTTTCAACAATTTCCTGAATTCATTCCATTGTTGCATTTTATCTTGTAAAGTGAGATTTTCCACCTCTTGTATGAGTATCTGTGCTTCTTTTAGCCACTCAAACACAACATCGCTGATCTTTTCAATTTTATGATCAATTGCTTCAACTTTTACATGTACACTGTCTCGATTTGAAATCAAAGTATTCTTTTGTGTTTCGACTTCCTTAAAAACTTTGCCAATTCTTCCTTCAACATCATCAAAAACCATCCTTGCTGTCTCACGAATACCAAGAGTGGGAATGCTATATAGAATAATAGTATAATGCATATTTGCTGCTGCAAAGTTTATTAATAGAAACATCTAAAATCAACATTATTAATAGAAACATTTAAATCACATATATTTTTATGAAAATAAACAAATAGGAATTGAAACTCACACATGTTGCACTAGACAGAAAGTATGAATGAATGATTGTTTCTTAGCTTCAAACGAGAAAGTAAGCAAAAGGTTATAGAGGCTGCCGCAAATAAGTTATTGTGAATTGAGATGTAGTATGATAATAAGTCAATGTATATAGTACCAGTACTAGTACATAGAGGCTGCCGCAAATAAGTTATTGTGAATTGAGATGTAGAATGATTGTTTGAGTACTAGTACATAGTAACAATAATAATGTTGATGAAGAGGAAGTGATTTTTTCATAGGAAGATTCGTTTTGTAAACAAGGGGCGGAAATCTATACTAAAGAAAATTGACTTTTTGATTCAAATAAGTTCATTGACTCTAACAACCTTTCACCTTAAGGCCAAAATCTATACCGTTGATCAATGAAGAAAATTGCCCTTATGGTCAATCATTTTGCAAGTGTGTCCTTCCATGTAATATATTTTTGTTATCTTATGTAATAATGGAGATGCTCTTATTTTATAGGAAGCTTCCAGTTCCTTCTTTTCTTAATTTAGTGTTGTGAAGCAGCAGCCTTTCTAAACCAAAAGAAAATTCAAGTTTTTTTTTTTTTTTAATACAAACTGGACTCGAGATTCAAAATGAGAAAATCTAAGATAATTCTACTAGGATGAATGAAGGGGATACTAACATAATATAATTTAATAAATCATCAATTTCTTAAAAAGATTAGCGTGAATATATGAATTTTGTTTTAGAATAACTAAATATTAATTTATTTTTTTTACAAATAACTATGTTTCAAAGAAAATTACGTAAATAATTATGTTTCAGAAAACTTCTTAAGGGAGGAGCTATCTCATTTGGCACCTACACTTTATTTTAAAGGGGAGACCCCACCTCACTTGACGTCTAGGTGTTAAAGGTTTGCCCTAAGTCAAGTGAGATGACGCCTTAGTGCAATTTGGATGGCAATTTTTCGCGTTTTTTATTTTAAATGCGGTGCGTTACATATTCGATATAAGATCAACAAAATTGGCTTTTTATTTACAAAATATGATTACACACATAACAATTACATAAAAAAATACAAATTAATCAGTGATTCCCCGGAACCCGATAATGACCCCCGGTTCCGCATCCCCGTCCTCGCCTTTCCTGTACTGGCTTTCGTCGTGTTTCCTGTTGTGGCAGGGTCGATAGCCAAGCGAAGTCAATGCCTTCCGGATCCATGAAATCAGTCAGATTTCCATATCTAGAAGATCCGCTTTGGTACAGTCGGTTGCTCATACCCTCAAAGTTTGGTCGTGTTGGTGGTAGGTGGGGTTCCATGGTTGGTCTGTAGCATTGGTCGTCTGATTACGGGGGTAGAAACGAAATGGATCTTGGGGTGTTTGGTATTGAAGATGTTGGGTGCTTTGGTGATGTTGTGGTTGATGGTAAGTTGGGTCGGTTGGTTCATAATCTTCGTGTGATACGGTGGCCAAAATCGGGACGTGTTTTTCCTATTGTTTAAGGAATTTGCTGGTTTGCGTTTTGCGTTTGTTTTCGCAAAATGTCGCGGTAAGCAAGAGTCGCCACCGACTTTTATTTTATCCAACAAGAAAAGGAAAAAAGTACAGAAAAAAATCATTTTTCGAGATATTTCTAGGTACAGGGGGGGTAGATTATAGAAAGGGAAGGTATTAACACCCTTTCCATTCGTAGTTATCTACGGGCTCTTAGGTACTTGCTCATCATTTTCAAAATTGTTTTCTTTGTGTTTGTGGGCTTTGAAAAGTTTTTGTTTTGACTTCGATTTAACTCTTGCTTCTGTCTTCAAGAGTGTAATGAAGTATTTTTGAAAACTTTATTTGTAAAGGAGTGTAAGTGTAAAAAATTTGTTTTGATTGAGCAAGTACTTAAGAGCTAATCTACCTACTCGAAAAAAGAATCGTTCTATCTTCATTTACTTTAGACAACGTTATCCCACTATTAGTGAGTAGGTAGCATCGTCGTTGGAGTTTTGAGGGTCAATTCGAAAGGGGCGTACGGTCACTAAAGCAATGTTATGACGCCTTAGTAATAACCCTAATGTCTTAGATCAATTTATTCGAGGCAACAATTCTGAGGTAACAATTCCGAGGTAACAATTCCGAGGCAACTTTTCCGAATCGGGACTTTGATCTTTGTTTAGACAAAAGGACGACCACTAAAGCATCCTATACTCAATGACCGTTTACCGAAGGCAACCAAGTGGGAGTATACCCTAGGAGTGCGCATGTGCGAGTGATTCAATTTCAGATTATTTATCTTTGCACATTTAGGGTTATCTAACTGTTTTAAAATTAATCATACATTCTTGTTATGCAAACCCTAATTATTCATACATCTAACAGTTAATAATTTGCGGAATTTAAAATGTGGAAATTAAACTACGCTATTACAAGGCTTCAGGTATTTACATAACCAAAAACAAACCCTTGAAAAATAAAGCGATAAATGTAAATAAACGTCCTAATTAAACTATTACAAACTGTGAGCAGATACAATAAAAATGATAAAATAATAATAAAGCGCGCGAGGAAAATTAAGATCGACGAAAAATTATAGTTTTGACCCTTCTTTTCTAATTAAAAGAAAATTTGTCTTTGTTGTTTTTAAGAAAAGAATTTAGGTTTTAAAATAAATGTACAAATTAATTAGTGATTAAATTAATTAATAAAAATAATTACAAGACTTATTTTTGTGTTTTGATTATTTTAGGAAAAATATAATATAATTAAGTTAGTAATAAAACCTATTTATTCTAATTATTTTTAATTATGCACAAAATAATTAAAGTTTCTACCAAAAATTAAATCTAATTAAATTAACAAATTTATTGACAAAAAATGCCTAAATCTAATTGGTGAAAAATAATATTTTTTGTGATTTTTTTATAAAGAAAAAATAATTATTTGTTAGTAAAATAAAATAAATAAAATAATTAAAATAATATAAAAAGAAAAAGGGATGAGGAATTGGGCCTGCAAAAGCAATTCTTAGAGGTGTGAATATCCAAATCTGGGCCCAAAAGGAGAGGTCCGCGCTTGACTTTTTGGATCCAATGATGCATGTTGACTGTGGCTTATAGTGTTCCTCCAGATGATGACCCTTGGATCTGGATTTAGGACACTTGGCAAGTTGGATTGTGAGATCACATGATAGACCCCTGGCTTGTGCATTTTGAACTACTATGTGTCGACCCATGCTGCTATGCATCGACACATAGCTTTTCCTTGGTCCTGTAAAACAAAATCAGTTCAGTATGGGTCGACACATAATGGGATGTGTCGACTCATGCACCTTCTTGTATCGACACGAAACGCGTATGTATCGACTCATAGGCTTTTCCAGCTTCTGTTTTGCAATCTGAACTCAGTATGGGTCGACGCCTGGGGGTTATGTATTGACTCATACCCTATTTTTTCACTAGGATGAGTCGACACATGAGGATATGTGTCGATACCTGCTGTATTTTCCTGCCTTAAACATTGTTTTTCTTATCTGTACAGGTTAGCTTATAACATATGATGGATAAATGTAAAAAACAAATGAGTGAATAAGTCTAAATCATAAGCAAACGACTAGTTAAAAGGGATAAAATACTACATCTTATCTTCATGAACAAAAGACTGTTAATGATGTATAAAAAGATATCAAGTCAAAAGGACTTACCTTTGGGCTACACTGGTTATTTTAGATCTGAATGCTTTTCCAAATGCTGTGGTGACTTTGTGAGTCTTCAGAAAGCTGCTCCGGACTGCCGGAACTGAGTTGGACTGTACTGTAACATTTTTTTGTATTTTTGATGGTCAAGATGAATAGAACTACAAGGACTATTTTTATGTTTTTGGATGCAGGTTCTCTGTTTTGCTCTGGTTCATGCGCCTCTTCTCCTTTTTTTTTATCTGCCTCGCTTCTATATGTATTGAGGAGTGAATTAGGTTTGAAAACTTGACCTCAATCTTCCTCCATCAATGTCCTTGATCTTGATTTGATTCACCTTGAAATCTTTCCAAAAATGATCCAAATCCAATCTTTTTATGCACACATTCCTTTACATGAATTTGAATGTTTGCTAGCTGTATAATAAAACCTGAAACAAACATAAAATCTTTTGTTTTCAATATTTTGGATTTTATATGATTTGTTTTGATTTAAATTGAATTAATTCAAATAAAAATCAAAATAAATAATAAAAACATGATAAGGACAAGTGGCAAGGGCTAGAGCTCGTGGACTATGTTTCCAATGCAAAACAAGTGAAAAAGATTGGGCCCATTTGGCAAAATTTGAAGTTTTAGGCATAGTTGACTTTTGGCAATTTTGCAAAAAGGGTCAACTTCACCAATGCATAACTTCCTCAATTTTGACTCTTTGAAGGTGTTCTTGGACTTTTTAGAAAGCTTGATATGTCCTATAGTCAACCATTTTGGTCTAATCTTAATTTTATATTCCATTCTCATGTATGAAGCTTTGACAAAAAAGGTGTTTTTGTTGACTTTTCAAAATGACCTATAATGTCCAAATTCATAACTTCTTGTGAGTGCATATTCTGAACTTGGGAGCTGAAGATGGATTGTAGGGAATTGCATCCTATTAAAAATGAGCTTTGGATGGGTCATTTCTCATAAATTGTGAGAAAGTTATGCTTCGTCAAAGTTGAGTTGACTTTTCCTGCAAAACCCTAATTTAGCAACTTTTGAGTCTTGATGAATTATGAGAAATCCTTGATGAATCATGATCAACCCTTGATCAAATGATGAAATATACTTCAAAATGAGGATGTTGACCAAAAATCTTGAAGTTTGACTGTATGTAGGCTACAGTTGACTTTTGCCCTAGCATAGTCGATTTTTTGGCCTTTGAGCAATTGACTGAGCAAATTTCCTCTGTAGGGCTTGAAACTTGACATGGATGATCTTGAGAACATATTAGGACAGTGTTGAGAATTTGGGGTCCCTTGGACTCAAGTATCTTGATGCAACATGAAACCCTAATTTGAGGTATA